GCATGGTTAACTAGTACGTCAATTAGAGGACCATAAAATAATCAAGGGGTCACACGTTTTTGCATGGTTGGTTCATCATCTTATTTGTGAGACCTCGGTATCCCAGACAGAAATAGAAGATGTGCAAATCCGAGATTAACATGCCATTAAATATTTTTAATGAATCTCAAAAGATCTAGGAGTTTCATGGAGATTGAAACTGCAAAGAACTTTGCATACCTAAATAACTTTGTGGTGTGTTTACGACATCCCTGTACACATCTCATGTAACATCCCAACATGTCAAGGATAAAAAATTTATTTTTATTATAATCAAAACACTATTGTAAACTTTTTCCAAACATTGAAAAACATTTCAAATATAACAATTATCAGAGTTCAACCCAGAGATCAAATATTGCAGAAAACACGGGTGTATGCGCTGCGATCGTCCCCCGAGCTCTTTCATTTGAAAACTGGAGTACCTGAAACATAAATTGAAAACCATAAGCACAACGCTTAGTGAGCTCCCCAAATACCACATACCATACAAGAAACATACAATAAACATATAGTGGGCCCCTCCCGGCATCGGACCACGTCCGACATCGGTCCCCACCCGACATCGAGTTGAGCTCGGTAAACGAGCCCCGTACAACATACAATAACATATATTAAATAACCACATATACATGCAATAATCACATAGCATACAAATATCCATCATGCCCCGCCCGACATCAAGCCTTAGCCCGGAAAAACACATAAACATAGGCACACGCAAGAGTGACAAAGACAGCTAGCATACTAACAACATAACATTAACATGGGTCGGCATTGGTGACTTCGACCCGCTAAACCCGGTAAGGAAACTCACCTCAAATGCTGAAGCATACTGAAAAAAATCCATAGTTGCTTCCCTGACGACACCTCCGAACTGCCAGATCAAAACAACGCCCAATTAACAATTGGGTTCCAATCCATAACCACAACTTCATACCTGGGGTAAAAATACCATTTTTACCCCTAACCTAGCCTTGTCCAAATCTATGACCCAAACTACAATCTGAAAGACCCAAAGGCCCACTAATCAACCAATGGCCCAATTTTCCAAATTGGGCCCAAACACCATACATGGCCTTACCTTAAGGCCCAACCATTCTTTCTAGTCCAAACACTTTGCATCCCGATGGTCAATTAATAACTCAAACCCAACATGCCAGAAACTACTAGATACATAAAAGCCGACTAATGGCCCAATATTCCAAATTGGGCCCAACCCTATATGGGCCTTAAACGTAGCCCAAAATTCCCTTAATTACAATTCAGATTACCTCATGTACCCCTTGGGAAAAACTTGTTCAAAGACATAAATCGAAAGTCAAGTCAACGGTCCAAGTTGACCCAACTCGCCGAGTTGTACTTCAACTCGTCGAGTTCCTCCATTAATCTACAAAGTCGGGAAAAACCGAACCAACTCGCCGAGTTTACCAATGAACTCGTCGAGTTTACCCAAGAACCAACAACTTAATGCATTAAGCTGTCTCCATCGAATCCAAGAGCTCCAAAGCTCAGATCTCGACCAAAATGAGATCAAGAAGGGTAAAGTTTCCAATTTTACCCCTAGGAACCACCTAAATGGGTCCAAACCCAAACCCTAGACTTAAAAGAGTGAGGGCTTAACCATTAAGCACTTAATCATCAAAGACAATACCCCAAAATGCAGATATGACCCCATAAGCCTAGATGGTCGCGTAAAGTTTCCATCTTTATGCTTAAGCATAACTAGAAGGAGCTCAAAAGCTCAAAAAGGGCTAAATGAAAGACTTAATGAATGCATGCCCTTAAACCCATAAAGTTGGCACCTCTATGCCAAAAGAGCTCATGAAGATCATATATATGAAAGAATAAACACTTGGTACTTCTACATCCCCAACAACCACCCATCCATGGCTAAAAGCATACAACCTAACCCAAGAAGAGATCTAAGCAAATATTAAGCAATGTTAGAACTTTATACCCGAAATGTGCTGGAGATGGAGCAGAGAATCAAGATCTGAAAGCTCCTACTTGAACCACCACCTTGCACCAAGCATCTCCTCCTTCAATGAGCTTCAAACACACCAAAACACACCCACAATGAGCTCACAACACTCAAGGAGGATCTAGGGTTTCGAGATTAGGGTTAGGGGGTTATGGAGGCTGGGAATGAGGCCAACACCTGGGACTTAAGGTGTTAAATAGGGCGCAAAACCCTAAAATTAGGGTTTCTCAATCAGCGTCCATAAAAACGCGCGACCCAAAAGCCTCCCACTCGTCGAGTTTCCCACCATCAACTTGCCGAGTTAGTCCCTAGGAAAGGGTGTTTATTTCCACAATTAATCTTCTAGATTCCGAGTGTTACATCACAAAGCCAAATATGGATCCTAGCCTCAATAAATAATTAATTTGGGTTGAAAAAAATTATTTAAAGGATTAGTAAAACAAAAAAAGAATGGAAGTAACATTTAATGATGTATATAAGATAATCCACTAAAATCTACTGCTATATGACCTATCAAAAGGATTAGCTAGTAGGATGATCAATCTAGTCCAAATTCATAGTTTGGGAATAATTCTCATTTTCGAATAGAAAGATCATGCCTTAGATAAATCTCTTCCTGAAGTTCATCTAACCACTGCATTCAAAAACTGTTAGAAACAGTTATCAATCATATTATTAAACTGAAATGGAATTTCATTAAGCTAGCAATTGAATGTTATTACCGTAGTCAACTTGCTGACATGTATATATAATCAGTTCATTCTGATTTTGATATGAACAACTTGAAATGTCCATAAAGGAGTTGCATGGAATGTTGAGACTCTTTGGGACTAACATGGCCAATCATAGAAACTGTAAACTTTAAATACTCCAATATTAACTATCATGAACATAAGTATCAAGAAGAAGATAGTCATTTTCTAATGCGTAAAATACGATTAATGGTGATATACCTAATCTGACGCCAAATGCCAATGACAATAGGAAGGATTATTATGCGAATTGTTATGATAAACTAATTGTTTCCAAAATAAGAAAAGGACTTAGAAAGCATTCATGCCCAATATATCTAATTGATAAGACTGAAACATGGAGAATATAATTTGATCATGGATTGCAAGCATATGCCACTATCCATAGGATCAAACGACAACTCATTCACATGAATGTTTAGTCTAACAACTAGATATAAAAATTCATAATACCATTAGACATTACTTTCAATCTTTGAGTATTTTGCTAAGGATAAATTACTAACATTTGTAAGAATGTGTAGTGACTTAAAGGGAGTAAGAGGACTGAAAGAAGGATAATTTTTTTTTGATAATGAATATTGGGCCCTTGTTACTATTCATAGGATTAAAAGACATATTGTTCTCCTAAATGTTTAGTCTATGGTCTTATGATTCAAAATTGTTTGTACAAGAATTCATAAGATTGTTATGACTTATTTAGAATGATTTAATGTGATTAATGATCATATGTTTATTATGAGTTTCATAGCTTCTTTCATTTGGAGACAAATTGATGGTTGGTTGAATACTGATATTCTTTTTTCTTTTGCACAGTTAGAAAATGTATAAACTTGAGCTGATCACCAATGCCTTAGTGTGGCAAAGTGTGATTGTTTGAATGCAAACACTAAGACAAGATGTCATGTTTGATAAGATTGTTAGAAAACCGGGGTATAGAATTGCTTGGATCAATGAGAGTTGTGAAACACTTTCAGATTATAGCATTTCGATGGTACACTCGAAAATCTCTAATCGAATAAAACTCACTGTTTTCTAGAATGGAGAATGAAGAAGATGTTATGAAGATCTGTACCCAAAATGATTTCGAAATTGATCATATAACAAGAAAAACTTTCTGTCTTAAAACTGTCAAATGACAGTTTCTGTCCAAAACGGTCATAAACTAACTTAAAAATCGGGTCTGAAAATGGATCACAAAACCGGATGTATCTACATAAAATACAGATTTCTGAGGCATTTTCCTTGGACCCGGCCAACAAGATTGTGTCGCATTCTTACTATTGATTGTTTAATAGATGTGCAAAGTTGAACATGAACTAGGTTAGATGTCTAGAAAATCCTATCATGGTTATTTCTTCATTGTAACATTTTTATATTATCTATCTCCTTGTTGTTAACAAAATTTCCGCCTTAAAACATGCTTAAAATTCAAACTAATTTATGTTTTCATGTAAATAAAGTTTAGTTTTTTTAAATTTTATCTAAACTTGTTAAAATAAACATGTATTATTTATATGATCCCTTTCATAAGGTTGAAAGTAGTCGATCTTGATTAAAATAATTTCATTTAAAATGTATTATACACGTACGTACGTTTTGGCATGTAACCATTAATGATGGAGTCACGAAAGGGGTTAACATCTATGGTCGCATTCCTCAAAGTTTCTTAAGGATTTTAGTATAAATATTAAATACATTAAAAAAATGTAGTGCAGCAAAAACTGAACAAAAATATATTTTAAATTTAGCTCATCTTCCATCAAATTTCTAGCTCACTGCATCTAATTTATTTAACTTGAACTAATATAAAAGATTCATAAAAAACTTAGAACATAAGAGTTGAACTTTTATCAAAGTTATTCGAACACAAACTAGTCCAAGTCAAATTTTATCAAGGTTAGAAAATCAAGCTTGAAATATATATAAGTATATAACTTTTCAAGATGCATGTAATATGTAAGTGTTTGATATATACGAATTTGGGTTGCAAATCAATCATTTTTATTAAGATCAAACTGGACTTGAGCTCCTCTAAGTCGTATACATCAACTTTTCAAATTAAACATGAATAAAGTTCGTTTTCTTAAGCCTTGTTTTTAATAAATATTTTTACAACCCGATCAAATTATTTGAATGTCAAAAGAGCTGGGCTTGACCCACGGTAACCCATACGCGGGCCCACAGTTCATCAAAATTCTAGAAATTATCCGTCTCTTGTATAAGAACTCTAAACTCATCTCCCTCCTTCACCAACATTCCTCCAATTTTCTCTAAACTACCACAAAACAATGGCTGCTGATCTCGAACATGCCACATCGACCTCATATTCTCTTTTGCCGGATTCCGACCACCACCTCCACCCACCGTCGATCTCTCAACGACGACGACCCCTCACCCTCTTGTCCTCGATCTTTCTCTCCATGTTAATATTTTCGTCTTTAATAGCTCTCATCCTCAACCGACATAGTCAACCCCATACTGTAGACGATGAAACCGGCGACAGAGCTCCGGCGAACGAGGCTTTTAAACCCATTTCAAGAGGAGTGTCTCAAGGGGTGTCGGAGAAGAGTAATTTCCAGCTGTCATCTTCCGGCGTTGAGGACATATACCCTTGGACCAATGCCATGTTGTCTTGGCAAAGAACAGGCTTCCATTTTCAACCTCCGAAAAACTGGATGAATGGTAACTCTTTGTAATACATAACTCAACGTAATTAATTCATTATTCATTTCATTTTATTATTATTATTATATTTTTCTATTTTCACTGATCCAACTATTAATTTCTTGAACTCCATTGATGCTTTCTGGTCGTTGAATTCTTGCTGGTTGATATATATCTTCTGTAGATCCCAACGGTATGCTCTCCCTCTCTCTCATTCTCATTTTTTAATAATTATTTAATCGATCTTTAGGAGATTGTTGTTTGTATATATATTTGAGTTTCTTTTCTCCAGTTGAAAATAAATTTTATTGTTTAAGAACAGAGAATCTTCAACGGATTTAGGATATGATTGATTAGTAGAGAAAAATTAAGACATTAAATTACTTACCAATTTTTAATTACAAGGTCAACGTTTTTGTTGCCAATATTTATGGAAAAGTAAGATTAATAGCATTCTACTTTGCTCATGCAAGTTACAAACTTTATCCGTTTATTTATTTTTTCTTTTCAAATACATTTCTTTAATATTCTTGTAATACATATCCTTGATGTTCCAAAATATATATGTGTATAAAAATAATAAATTCATTGGAAAGAAAATTCAAATGATATATATTTAAAATCGACTGACCAATTCGTTTTAAATGACCAATTCGTTTTAAATCTATTAACCAAAACAAATGTTAAAGTTATGAAATATAATTAGAGGGAAGTTATTTATATGAGACTTAACCTGGTCTTAAAAAGGATAAGATAAATGTCGCTATAGATATATGGTTGAGGATTACATGTGAGACCTATATAAGAAACCTAAGTAATCTTCTTTACCTCAATGTAGAAAAACCACAATGTATTTTGTTATTTCTAAAAAACCGTAATATCTTATTATGGTAACTTATATACCTAAAATAATCATATATAGACCTCGTGTGTTTTATCTTGGAAGATATATAGATAACTTTCTGTCAACATAGAAAATTACGTATCAAAATTGCTAACTTTAGTAAATGCCGTATTTCATTTTTTTTCTTGGTTTGGTAATAAGAGAAAACAAATTTAGAAATTGTATGAAGAGAAAAGCAAGGTTCGTACCTTCGGTCCATCTAAACTTTTTGAGTGAACGATTAAGCTGATATATTATTGTGATATCAAATATATAAAAATAGTTAAAATATATATTTACTGTACATAAAACGCTATATATTATTGTGATATCAAATATATAAAAATAGTTTAAATATATATTTACTCATGTACATAAAACCATACTAAGGTCAATAAACATTTATTTGGATTTGTACTTTAAAAGAAAGTATTTGATTGTCAAATAAATATGTGAAATATATACTTGAAATAATATTTAACATAAAAATAAAGAATATTAAAAATGTTATATTAGTCGATGCTATAATGCAACGTTACATGTATCAAAAAAAAAAGAGTTACATTTAGCATACAAATTTTTTTAATTTTGGGGGATAACTCATAACTGTATAAGTATTTTATTTTATTTTATTTATTTGAAGCATTCTATTTTAGCAAAAAGGTATATGAAAAGACGCCAATCATATTTCGTGCTATGTATATACATGTTTAATAAACGGTACGATAAATGAAGACCCACCACATGGATTTAAATATTGCTGACGTGGATAGTTGGATGAACTTTTACATCGTGGATCATGTGTTACGTGATCTACGTTTATCATCCTATCATCTCATCACACGTGTCACACCAAATTTTGGGATCCCGTGAATTACGTGTTTTCTATTCTTTTGTAGGCGTTTTAATAGTTAACTGCCGTACACGTTAACTAACTTTCCACCGTCACACGTTTATTTATATTTTAATTATCAATTTCCAAAGACTAAATTCACAATTTTATATACTTGCGTCCTATGTAACATCTGATGTTACATTCATTTGTTAAAAATTAAAATTAGAAAACCAAATTGCAATTATAACTAATAAAGTTAGTTTTGTATATTAATATTGATACCGATTATACCATGTATCGCAGGTCCATTGTATCACATGGGATGGTACCATTTGTTCTATCAATACAACCCGGATGCAGCAGTATGGGGAAACATCACATGGGGACACGCAATATCAAAGGATCTGATCAATTGGCAACATCTCCCGTTTGCTATGGTTCCTGATCAGTGGTACGATATCAACGGCGTCTGGACAGGATCTGCTACACTCCTCCATGATGGTAAGATCGTTATGTTGTATACCGGGGACACCGATCAGGAAGTGCAGGTGCAAAACTTAGCATACCCCGCCAACCTATCGGATCCCCTCCTCCTAGATTGGGTCAAGTACCCGGGTAACCCAGTTTTGCTACCACCACCCGGCATTGGCGCTAAGGATTTTAGGGATCCAACTACCGCTTGGTTCAACCCAAATGGAAAATGGCGGGTCGGGTTAGGGTCCAAGGTTAACAAGACGGGTATTACACTTGTTTATGAAACAACAGATTTCACGAGCTTTGAGTTGTTGGATAATGTGATGCATGCAGTTCCCGGTACGGGTATGTGGGAGTGTGTTGACTTTTATCCGGTGTCAACAACGCAGTCAAACGGGTTGGATACATCTGTCAATGGAAGGGGTATTAAGCATGTGCTGAAATCAAGTTTAGATGATAATAAACATGATTATTATGCACTTGGGACGTATGACTCGATTAGTGACAAATGGACACCCGATAATTATGAGTTAGATGTGGGTATAGGACTACGACTTGATTATGGAAAATATTATGCATCAAAGACTTTTTATGACCAAAGTACTCAAAGAAGAATTCTATGGGGTTGGACTGGTGAAACCGATAGTGAAGCTGCCGATATTTTGAAGGGATGGGCCTCCGTTCAGGTAAAACCAATAATTATAAGATTTATCATTAACAAGTAAATATAAATGGTAAAGTGGGTGTGAAAAGTAAATGTGAAATTGTTTCAAGGGTCTAAAGTGTAAGAATAAAGATAACTCTTATTATTATTACTACTATTGTTATTAATTAAAGGGTTTTATGAAATATGAATGATAGACCATTCCAAGAGAAGTGGTGTTTGACAAAAAGACCGGGACGAATATACTTCAATGGCCAGTTAAAGAGGTTGAGAAGTTGAGAGTCAAAAATTCGAAATTTCGAAAAGTTTTGCTTAAACCGGGATCTCTTGTGCCACTTGAAGTAGGCTTAGCTACACAGGTATTTACTTCGGTGCGCATCTAGCGATATTTGTGTAAAACATAACATATTACATTGACCATTTATCATTTATTTATCATTGAATATAATATTTAATCTTTTGTTAAAAATTTTATTTATTACAGTTAGACATACTAGCAACGTTTGATATCGATACGACAACAGTAGAGGCGGCAATTGAGGCGGATGTGGGTTACAATTGCACCACAAGTGGTGGTTCCACCGCCAGAGGAGTTTTTGGACCTTTTGGATTAATAGTTGTTGCAGATGAATCACTCACTGAGCAAACTCCTGTCTATTTTTATATTGCTAAAGGTGCTGATGGGGTTGCTACTACTTATTTTTGTGCCGATGAATCCAAGTAAGGTTTTAATTTATCATCTCAAATATTATAAATTGATTATATGGAGTTGTTAAATTAACAATGAAAATGTGTGTAGATCATCAACGGCTGCGGATGTCACAAAAATAATCTATGGGAGCAGTGTTCCTGTTCTACATGGTGAAAATTTTAGCATGAGATTATTGGTATGCAACACTCTTTTTCTTCCTTTGAAATATTAATTTACCAAATGGTACACTCGTCCATTAATAATCCTGCATTTATAAGATATTTTGTATTTCATATATTCCGGATCAAAAAAATCAAATAAAATGGTTTGAGAGTACTATTATGATTATAAATTGAAATAAACTAAAAATTGATTTATAAAAATGTTTAAGGTTGATCATTCCATAGTGGAAAGTTTTGCTCAAGGTGGAAGGACGGTTATAACCTCAAGGGTATATCCAACAATGGCAATTTACAGCGCAGCAAAGGTCTTCCTATTCAATAATGCTACAGGAATAAGTGTAACGGCAAACGTAAATGTATGGAAAATGAACTCAGCCCAGATCGATTATTTCCCCCTTGGCCAACATTAAAACGACAAGCATACGACTATATTAGTCAATATATGGAATCATTATTTTTCTAAATCTGGGGTTACATAATTATGAGATGTAATCCACATTTATCAATAATTCATTTATATAATTTATCATCATCTTGATATTTCTTTATCAATTCTTGTTAACTAAAATAAAAAACCGTTAGAAAATGATGTATGTAGTAGAATATTTGTAATCAAATATGGATTGCTCACCGATCATGTAAATTCACTTTTTGTATATATATTTCACCATATAAATGACCGGGTAATAGAAAAAATCAAACTTACTTTAGTTCTTTAATTTAGGACGTCCATAAGTTGAATGTAAGAAGCTCCACTCATCATTTTTTGTAGATAACATTTCCAAATTTACCACCATTGCAAACCATCTTGCAAAGCCCACTCTATACACAATACTGATCTTCCTCGGATCACAATCTCTTTTAAATCTATCTATTGCAATTTCAAAAACCATCGGCCCCAACTAATGTTCATCAAACCAGGGGCGGATGTGTGTGGTCCCCGGGGGGTCCTGGGCCATTGCTCCGCTTCGGTCCGTAAGGGTAAAAAAAAAATTCTATTAGGTGCACCGGTTTCAAATTCGTTCGGGTGACACTATACTTTCGAGAATTCAAGGCCCAAAAAATATAAAGTGTAAAAAATGCTAGTCCAATAACATAAAGAAAATTAGCCCAATAGCTCAATGCATTGTGAGTTTGTGGCCCGAGTTGTTTATTAAGTTTTTAACCCAATTGACCCACATACCCATTACCCAATATCCATCGCCAATCAAAGTAAAGAAGCAGGAAATCGATCCACTGCTGAAAAGAAAAAAAAACCGGCACTTTAGCACCTTCTGTGAAAGCTGCGAACGAGAAAAAAAAATCGGCCTCCGCCTTCCTGCCTCCCTTCAATCGATTACAACCAAGTTAGCAAGGCATAAATTTCGATTTTGCTTGGCTTGGCTTGACACGCCTTTCAAACCTACAAATACAATGAAACAAGTAAGTATTTGATAATTTAGGTTAATGAAATTAGTCAAATTAGTTGCTTTTTTGTTGAAATTTCTTATTGTTTAGGTGAAATTAGTAGTTCTTAACCTTGAAATTACTTGTTTACTAGTAACTTGTTGTTAGAATGTTAGATACTTAGATTGTCAATTGGAAATGGTGAACTTGAAACTGGAAGAGGGTTAAATCAAGAGAGCTCGCTTATTCGAGCGGGAGATACAAGATGGGGTTCACATTTCAAAACCATCACAAGTTTGATGAACTTATTTCCGGAGGTTCGTCATGTTCTTGCTTATGTCGAAGAGGAAGGATCCACTTTAAGTAACCGAAATCAAGCATTTGGCATCTTAAAATATTTCAAGACATTAGATTTCGTGTTTTACTTACATTTGATGTATGAAATTTTACACCTCACAAATGTATTGTCAAAACATCTTCAAAAAAAAAGGATCAAGATATTTTAGAAATGGCTTCTTTGGTTAGAGGGACAATGGACGCATTGAAGTGTTTGAGAGACACGGGGTTTGCTAAACTTTTATTGAAGGTATTCTCTTTTTGTCAAAAACATGATATTAATATTGTGGAGATGACGGAAAATTATGTCACATCAAGAGGCCGTAAGACTAAAGTTACTAATCAATTTCATTTTGAAGTTGAAATTTTCAACACCGTCATAGATATGCAAATTATAGAATTCGGGGATCGATTTAGTGAACTTAGCACCCAATTACTAGAATACATGGGGGCTTTTAGTCCTTGTGATTCATTTGCTAAATTTGACAAAACAAAGTTGTTAAAGTTGAGTGAGTTATACAAAAAAAAATTGATGATGCGGAGAGGATGCAACTTGATGGTGAACTTGAAATATATTATCACGCTTTACATAAAGATAACTGGTTCACTAGTTTGCAAGGAATTTTCGACCTTTCTCGTTTGATGGTGGAAACGGGAAAACATCGGTCTTATCCTATAGTTTATAGGTTGTTGAAGTTGGTTTTGGTTTTACCCGTTGCAACCGCAACAGTCGAAAGATGTTTTTCAGCGATAAAGTTGTTGAAGACGGATTTGCATAACAAAATAGGTGATGATTTTTTGAACGATGTCATGATTTCTTATGTTGAAAAAGAAGCACTTATCAAAATGAAGATCGAAGATGTAATGGGTCGGTTTCAAAAAATGTGTACCCGTAGATGTCAAATTTAAATATTAAGATGTAATGGACCGGTTTGATGTATTAGTACTTTTAATTTTTTTATGTTATTATATTCGGACGAAAAAAAAAAATTGTGTCACTGCTATGACAACTTTCTGCGTCCGCCACTGCATCAAACCTAAACACCGAAGATGACATGTCATAAATTCTGCTTGTGATCATTGTTTCCCAAATTAGTATCATTTAAGTTTTAATCAACAACTCGGTCATTGATTTACTCTCATATCCTTCATCATCATCCATCTCAAACAAACTGTCAATATTTTCCTGACTTTCTCAGTTTGATATGAGCACTTCACAACCCGAATCTTTGTATGGTTCAGGAAATTCAAATAACTTGCATGTGTATGAATGAAACAAGTTTTCCCATAATTCAATTTAAAAGATATACATGAATTATTGATATGCAAATTATGCATATACACCATGGATTGGCGAATGACAGAGGTCGTTAATATTTTATAAAGATGTAGCAATCCATGTGTTGGTCCTGCAACTTTTATGGAAATCCTTTAGTAGTTAGAATTAGTTTGACTTTTTTAACAGACCTAATAATTACACATTCATAGTAGATAAACCTGAGTTAAGTATGGAGTGGGTAGGCCCATATACAGCATGACGCTTATTGCCGGTATCTATCCAAGAAAACATCCAACTCTGTACACAATAATCAGAAAATTAGAAGAGAAGGGAAACTGGAAGTATATATGCAGGCTATTTACTCTTAGGGTGGAAGGAAGAAGCAAACCTGTAGGTAAAAGTGTTTCTAATACTCCGATTGACTCTTAAATTAGTGCTATGCAAACGACAATACTTGAGCCTTCCTCCTTCGAGACATCGACATATAACAAAAAATCTTGGATACAAAGCAAAAAGAAAAAGAAAGATGAAGCTTACAAGATCAGGAATGGATAAAAATGAAGAAACATATGATGACGACATGTGTGAAAAGGATGTAATATGCGACAATAAAACGAATAAAGAGAAGAATTAAAAAGAAAACATAGACGCATAATGAAACGGACCCTAGTAAATCAAATAACTGAGGATGATGGAGCGCAGTAGCCAACACCGGTGATGCAAGTAGAATCGCGCATCAGTTCCAAAATCGAAAACACCAAACATTTAAGAGAATCTGCAGAGCAAACAAGGAAAATAAGGAGAGAGAATTTAGAGGGTAGATGGAGCTTTTTCTTTGATCGATTACTGGTGAGATATCAAATAGAGAGAGGAGAGTAGTCTTGAGAAAGGATTGAAAGCGGTGAATAAGACGTACGGTGGGATACATGTGTTCAACATGATGGATGATGAATATACAAAGAGGCGATCGTTATAACAGAGAGGTTTCAGATTATAGATTAGGAATGAGGGAATAATTTATTAAGACGAATAAATGAAATCACCAGTTGAAATTTCAAAACCCTTATGACTTTAGGACCTTAGAATTAGAAACAGAAAATAAACCACTATTAAAATAAAGATTGATCTATGAAGTCACCTAAATGAAAGCGAATCAAATAATATCCTTCAAAGTTTCTTGTTAATTCAATGATAGAACCAGATGGATTATCAGTTATCGAAACCTATATTAGAATGTGGGGAGCAAATAAACAGTTCATAGAAAACCGATAGTATGGAGTTATGGCATCAATATGAAACAACAGTTATGCTTCTTATCTGCAAAGAAACCCATCAATTGATCATTACAGAGGAGCGTTGGCGAAATGGGCAAACGTCGGTATATTGGGTTGTTGGGTAGAGAGAGGTGATGGAGGTAGTAGCGTATTGGGAAAGTAGGGAAGCGTTGGAGGAGGTGAGCGGAAGTGTGGAGGTGAAGATTTGACTTTTCAAAGGGTGGCACATTGTTCCATTTAGTGGAATCATGAGTAATGAACCATATACCTATCTATTAGGACCCAACCCGGCAGAAGCCTGCTTAAAATCAAGAAAAAATAGCCGAAAATCCAAGAAAAATCCTACACTTATTCCACATTAATCCACATTTCCCATTTTGCTTAATTTTTAAAGCATAGGGTTTCTTTAAATATATAAGACTAGAGAAGTCTTAAGGCCGTCCTAAGGACGGCCCAGTATCGTCATGTATTATATAGGAGGGTGACGTTTAAATGAAGATGCTTAAATATATTGATGATGCTTAAATATATAAAAGAGTAACTCATTCAAATATAGGTATGCATGTATACAAATTAATTCCATCGAAGGAAAATCTAAGCAAAGACAGATAAAATTTTGTGCAACCATTCTTGTATAACCATGAGAAACGAAGGCATACTCAATAATGAATTGTCGTATGTGCTTAATAATTAGAATGGAACCCAAAAATCTAGAGTCCAAACCATATTGAATCAAAAAATCAAATCAAAAACTGATTCTATATATTTAATTATTCATCACTTTAATTTCATATTGATATTTTTCAAATTAACCACATACATTGCTACATTATTTCAAAGAAATTTATTTAAAGAATTAAATAAAATCTAGTAACTACAAATACCAATAGGTTTAAATTTTGACATATTTGGTGGGAACCAATCCCCGGATAGGGAAATTGCTGTGAAATAGCAACAAAATTATGCATAACTAACAAAAGTGGAATACTTAAATTCTATCTAAAACATAATTGTGCTAGTTCATTGGCACTCTAAGAATATATAAAGCATATTTCAATGACCAGGTAGTCTCTAGACAACCCGTTCAGGAAATCTACATCTCATGAGTTGAAAGTTGAAACAAACCTCATGAATCTCATCAACATCCTAAAAAGTTATGAAGTTGTGTAATCATAAATTACCTTTGCTCTCATAAGATATTAAAGTTC